CCCCCCCCCCCCCCCCACATGCAGTTTTAATGTGGCAACCATCAAGAAATATAACTGGCCTACAACCCTCTAAAAGTCCTCTCTTTAATGCCCCCCAACAAATATAAAACCTTTTAAACACTGTATGATCACCCTGAAGCTTGCATTTAATTTTTATGTTTGTCCCCGGGTTGGTTTTTCTAAGCTCCTCAGCATAACTCCATAACATGGTGTATTGTTCAACATCACACCCAACACCCTTTGAAAGCACAAGTCTTTTAGCCTTATAGAGTTGCTGACTATTAAATATTAGAGATAAATCCCTTTGCAAGATGAACATCATTGACTCTATAGGCCAACCAGGGTTTGTCCATATTTCTTCTTTGTACTTTTCAGTAATAAACTTGGCATTAGCATGTGACACCTTTTGTTCCCTAGGACACTTGTGCTTACTTGACAGAGTTTTAATGATCATTGTGTCTTCATTCCGACCTTTAGAGGCATAAACTAACCAAGGACAAGATTCATGTTTACACCTAACTTGGACCTTATTTTTGTCATTAATTCTAATAGTTATGTTCCTTCCTTGTTTAATTGCATGCTGTCTAACTGCTTTTCTGAAAGTAGCAGTATCACTGAATTGCATTCCCAGTTCAAAAACAGGATTGACCATGTCTGTGATAGGATAAAAATAGGACCACCATTATGTAGTTTAGAAGAGTTATTTGGCTTGCTACTTTTCTCTGCAGGTTCAGGTATTTTCACTTCAAGATTATTCAAGTATACCCCAACCCATTCAACCTCTTGATCAATATGCAAATCAAACAACTCATCATCATCAGAAGCCCGTTCACATTCACTATCCAAGAACCTTTCAGAAAAATCAGAGTCTGACCCAACAGATTGATCATCATCACTTTCATTTAAATCAGATAACACCACATTATCATTTAAATCTATGTTTTCTACATTCTCAGCAACAAATTGTAAAGGTTCATCTACTGTTGGTAGATCATGAGATGGACTACCCACAAAATCTTTCATCCACTGACTATCTTGATCCACCGTTTTTTCATGCTCAACAAAAACCCCAACCATTCTATTGACATCAAGAAAATTCACCATATTTAGGACATCAGAGTTATTTTCAAGCACCATTAAATCAGAACAATCATTAATCCCACATTTACTGCAATGAAACCCAAAGACCTCTTTCATTCCTACTTCATCAAACATACTCTTCAATTCAAGTAATGACAACTCATCAACATTGCAGTTATCTATATGAGCAACATCACCACCCAAATAACATATTTTTCCCAAATTTACAAACACACCAGAATGGTGCAATCTGATAGTGAATAACTCGGATGAAGAGGAGCAATCTATGGGGGCTTCGCCATTGTCACCCTCTTTCCGAACTTTCCAGCCCATGTGAGTATTTCAGTCTCAAAATCAATTTTTGAAGGGATTTGAAGGTTAGGAATTTGGGATTTTCGAAGTTAAGGTTTAGGGATTTGAATGTGTTAGGGTTTAAAAGAAAGAAAATGAGAATTTGGGAATTCGTGAATTAACAGAGATAAATGGACGATTGATAGGGGATGCTGGTGAAAAAAAACGTAAAGTTCAGGAGTTATTTAGATGTAAAATAATGTTTAGGAGGCAAAGTGAAAAAAACCGTAAAGTTTAGGAGGCAAATAAAAATTTTCCCTATATTTATATCCTATTTAGAAATATTTATACTCTATTTAGAAAGATTATAAATCTACTCTAAATTCTGTTTAACTTGACTTGATGTGTTGGTTAAATCTACTCTAAATTTTGTTTAACTTGACTTGATGTGTTGGTTAAAGAAAAATAAAAAAAAAATAGCTTGATAAGATTTTTTATTTATTTATGTTTTCTTTTTCGTTTATGCGTGATTCAAAAGCTAGATATAAATCCACGTTTTAAATAGAATTTTGTGTTAATTAGTTAACCTAATCATTGTAGTAGTGTTACACTCCTAAGTGTGGTGTTAACTGCACCTTCCCTTCTCGTCAGCCAAAAGTATAAGTGCATCGAGTAGGGGAGGAGTGCACTAAAGTTTTTAAGGTTCTGAGTTATCTTCGTGAGAAGACCGAGTTGCAGGGTTAACTAACATACTCATGAGCATTTCATTGTCTGCTATTTGGATTAGACATGGCGTCAAAATCCTTTATGAGGTATACCCGTATACGAAGGTTGAGCTTGATCATCTGTGGCGCAAAGCCGAAGCAGTTTGTGGGCCAAATGGTTCTTTATTTTAAAATCAATAGTTTAGAGGTTGTTTCTCTAAATCATTAGATGCACTTAGGTCTAGTTCATCATATTTGAAGCAGNAAAAAAAGTTTAGTCCTCCAAAGAGGAATAAGCCGCAAGGTAAAATTTGCCAAGTACATAACTAGTTCGAACTTCAAAGTTCAAAGTACAGTCTCTTGCTTTGAATATTCGTCAAAATGCAAAATTTCCTGGAGACTCGTGGTCGTAAGCTGCAAACACAAGACAAATGTCACCCTTTTTACCAAATGTTTTTCATATAATAAAGACGCAGATAAAAACAAAGATAGGGTTGATATCTTCATAGCTGCTAATGCATAATTTCTTACTTTCCCAACCGATAATAATTGACAAGAGGCGAAACAGCACATAAGAGGTACCTTAAAACCCTAGAAAAACTAGCTTCATGCATCTTATAGAAACTTATACTTGTCTCAGGTTCATACGATCTCGAAGTCCCAACATTTCCAAACGTCTTTATCAGATACAGGAACCAAAATTACTGCTCATCAGCCAATAGGTTTACAAACTTTAACATCAAAACGCATTTACTACTTTTTACCACAAAGCCAGACCTATACACAATTTGATCAAATAAACTTTTCTATTTATCTGATTAGAAGTATAACATACAAATCTCCATGATTTAGACTGAAAATATAAATTGCACCTGTGGCTTTATAACATGTTGTCTTCTGCAATCTACCTTTGAAATAATTCCTTTTGCTAATAGCTCATTTTGATAGTCAATTTGTGTTTCTTCATGCAGAGAAGATAGTATAAATACTCAACGCGTGGCAAAGAATATTCAGATATTACATACATAGTAAAGGAATTCATAGCCAATCACAATCACACAATAACCTACAATGAATCTCTTCCAAAGAACAACTGAGTGATAAAGATATCCAGAAAGTACAAAGATAACAAACCATTCATAAACGAGTAGAACTCCCGTCACAAGTCTTGCAATAGTGTGGAACAAAAAAAGCATTATGACAAATAATATTTTAAGGAGAAAAAGAAAAACGAAAAATATCCATACCTTTGCGCTCGTCTCTCAACCTTTCCGCCAAAGTAGCCAAACCACTGCAAAGCCTTACCTCTGCAGCTAGGGACCCAACAACTCCCTCTAAAGTTCTCAACTCACCAAACTCCGAATGCAAAACCAAAAATGAGAAATGCTCGTCCACAATCACACAAAGACATTTCACCACAGTCTCGAGAAACGGGACCCACTCGCAGACTTTCACACCTAAAACCGATGACCCCTTGTGACAGGGCCCCACCTGAGGGAACCTCTCATATTTCTCGAGCCACTTCTTCAAGTACCGAACCAATGCCTTAATCTCCTCACCATCCAATTTCCCAACACAAGCTGAGAACATCACCTCATCAAGATTAGGACAGGCGAGAAAATAACGTAAACATAATTCGGACACAGAAAATCCATCGTATGCCAGCATGACCGCCTCTTTTGCGAAGATTTTCTCTTTCCCTTTTACTCCTTTTCCACTGGCTTTATCAATGGATAACAGTGCATGGCTCTCCCAATCCTTTCTCAAGCTAACCAGGCTCTCATACCCATCGACCGGAAGCATCAGAAAGTACTTCAGAATGCACATCATGTCGTAAGCTTGCAAATCGGGCAAATGCTTCACGCACGAGACAATCAAGTCAGACTTCTGTTTCTCGATCAACTTATTAATCAAATTCAATGTGAATGCACGATCGACAAGCCCGTTAATTATCAGAGCCTCCAGCATCTCACAAACACTCAACGCAACAGAACCCTCAGCAATCAAGCATTTAACATCCTTAGCCATCAAAAACCCCAATTTCTCAACAGCATTACAAGCGTAACGCGGTTCGAATTTATCGAAATGAAATGAGATTCCAACCTTTTTCGCCGAATTCTCCAAATACAAAGTCAGCATGTCCATGAACTCAGCCTCACTGAACGAGTTTGCGTCCTTCAGCTTCCTCGTCAGCTTCTTGAAAAACTTCTGCCCTAGCTCGATGAGCTCATGGTCTACCTGCAAAATTTCCCACCCGGTAGCCCTTTTCACGTGGCTGTCGGATTTCTGGTCGCCAACTTCCAGCTTCAGCTTTGAGAAGATCGGGTCAGGGTTGAGAATTGTAATATCCCACATCGGTTGTTAAGGAGAACGAAACATGCCTTATAAGAGGGTGTGGATACCTTAACTTGTAGGACGCGTTTTGGTGAGCAAGCTCCCAAAGGCAAAACTGTGCGGGTGAGCGGGCCCAAAGCGGACAATATTCTACAGCGGGTGGACTGGGCTGTTACAGATGGTATCAGAGCCAGTACCCGGACTGGTGTGCCAGCGAGGACGCTGGGTCCCCAAGGGAGGTGGATTGTAATATCCCACATCGGTTGTTAAGGAGAACGAAACATGCCTTATAAGAGTGTGTGGATACCTTAACTTGTAGAACGCGTTTTGGTGAGCAAGCTCCCAAAGGCAAAACCGTGCGGGTGAGCGGGCCCAAAGCGGACAATATTCTACAGCGGGTGGACTGGGCTGTTACAAGAACAATCGAGTAATCGGTTCCTTGGTCGGATAGGGCCGGCATAGCTGATGAAGCTTTTGTTATTACTTCTAGCAAAGACATTTGAGAGGGAGATGAGGAAGGAACTCCAAAAAGGTGTAAAGCTAAACGTCGGACTTACTCGCAGGTCTGTTGGTAGAGGTGCCGGAGTATGCGGTGGTGGCGGTGAGCGCGGCTGCTGGCACCGGCGGTCGACGAGGGTTTTAGGCGAGGTTTAGGGCGTGATTGGATATGCATTCAAGTAGTAAAAAACTAGTTTTTACTTAACTATAGTTAAATTTGAAAAAAGGTGGTATGGTTAGTTGTTAGTGTATATATTAAAATAATATTTAAAATAAAATAATTAAAGATGATTTGATATAAAAATAAGAGAAAATGATTGGAAGTGATGGTTAGTAAAATTATGTGAGTGAATGAATAGTGAATTAGAGTTGATGTGATGTGTAAGAATGATTGGTTGATATTATTTAATTATATTAATAATATTGGAGATAGTAAAATTGAGTTAAAGTTGAGTTACATTTGAGTTTTGATTGATTTTTTTACTGTAGAATCCATATACAATCGCCCCCTTAAGGGTTTTTGGCAGAGCAAATCTATGCGTTGAGAGTAATCATCTTACAGGGTATTTTTGAGTTGGGCCTCGATTGATTGATTTATTTACCTTCGGCTCCAGTCTACTACGAGTCGGCCCATAGAACTGGATATGTTGGCCCATTTGGTGATGCTATGGATCCACAAATATATTTGACCTAATCATCTCCATTTATTTTGGCCCATTTTAATAAATCCAATTTAGTAGTTTTTTGGACTATTTCTTTATGCAATTTCCTCCTCCCATTTGTAAATTGTAATTCAAAATTTAATAGTTGTAGGAGTCTTTAATATAATACATGGAATTTTTTGCAGTTACAATAAAATTGCAAACTTAAATACCGAGGAAACTGAGGTCGAAATCTATATAAATAACACTACAATTTAGTTGAAAGTTTTTTATTTTGTAGCTAAACTTGTGATACAATGTTTTATGTTTGTTACCCATATCACAATATGTTTTATGTTGTTAATTCTCAAAAAGCACAAGAGTTTTATTATAATGAATAATAATCATACATCTGGCTTGACTTGAATTCATGATAATGAGAGAAAATTTATTCTTGAAAGTCAATAATCAGAAGTACACACATGCGTTCAACTTCATATTTGTTTCAAGAATAGTAGATCATATGGATATTATTATAGCATTAAGAATTGGTCTTTATCACATTGTTAGATAGGCTAAAAGTTTTGACTTTGCACCGTAAGTCCAAATTGCCCTATAATCCAATGAATCTGAACTGTTAAACTTTTCGAGCCCGTGTTATTTGGAAGACGCAATTGTAATTAAGGTTTTTATTTATTGTGTTAGAAACTTTGAAATTTTCTGTTTTCTTTCCTTTTTCCCTTTTTTTTTTTTTGCCTTATTATTATTATTATTTTCAGAAACATATGTTGTTGATCACATCAATGCATAAATTATCATAAAACTGAAGAGAAAGAAAGACAAAATAAAAAAATTATCTTGAAATAATTTTGGTTATAACTGAAATTCCAAAAAAGTTTTTTATGGCACTATTATAAATATATAATTACATTGAGAGTAAAATAGTTATTCATCATCTATATATAAATATATAATTACATCAAGAGCAAAATAGTTATTCATCATCTATATAATAATTGTGGTTGATTGTTGTTGGTGGACATTTATTCCATGACGTTTATAATTAATTTTCACGTCACATTATTTTCGAGCCCCATATTTTACACTGCAATATATGGCTGACAAATATGGTAGATATTAGGCATATCAAATTGTTAGACGACTATATATATTGTCACCAAATATGTATATTTTTAAATTATATTTTAAAAAACAACATAAACAAATTATGTCATTTTATAGCATGAATAACATTTCTAGTTAAAAAGACATAACAAGTTGAGCCGCTAAAAGATTAAACTATCTAAGAAAGCCTTGTGAAAGGAGAAAAATATTTTGAAATCGTCAAATTTTCAAGATTAAAGACATCTTGTTTCTTTATCAATATTTTTTCCTAATTACAACTCTAACTCTACAAAAATTATGATAAAAAAAAATAAAAATACAAAGGTTTGTCATGATCATCACGTTGGAAGACAAGCGCCCACAAAATGTTCCATCATATATCTGCATTATTATTTAAACGCTATAAGCATATAGAATTATATTATTATATCACTAATAATACATTCACGGATTGGTCATCTAAATGTAATATTATTAGGTTCGAGTCGAGCTCAAACTTTATTAATGAGTCAAATTATAAAAAATTTTATACAATAAAAATAAAAACATATTTTCGATCCTTAACGAGTCGAGATTTTTAATTAATTGAACTTTAAACAAAAGATTAGAGAAGAGTCGTATTTACGAACAACCTATTCGTGTAACAGCTCTACTCACGAAAAAATGAGAATTAATGGAGTTCAAATTTTGGGCCATGGCATTACGTGAGCACGTGTAGACAATTAATTAGTGTCTCGTTATACTAATGAGGTCTTAATATGATTAATTAACACAAACATGACACCCCGTTGTACATTGACCCTTAAAATATTTTATAAAAATCTTACTTAACAAGTGGCTAATTAGCTATTTAAGGTAAACCAATGAGATAGTAATTTTTTCTTAATACAATTAAGTCAAACCAATTAAATAAAATATCCTTTGTCACAATGACCTTTCTTCACCCACAAAAATCTATCATTTCATTTGTCAACGATATTCTTCAAAATGATTAAGAGTCATAGACGACATTTTAATTAATGTTCATATGCAATTTGTGTTTGATTAATTTCAAATGCGTGTTCAATTGCTAACAATCCGTATCATGGCGAGTTCACGGGGAGCTGACATGTATTTTGTGTTTGACAAAATTAATTGTGTTAACAAATTATAACATATATAAATATACGAGATATTAGTAAATATATATACACAATATATATATAAGTATATCTATATATTTATAGTACTCAAATATTATACTGAACCATGATGATATTATTTAATTATATTAACATGTATATATGATGTATCTAAAAAAATCAAATGATCAATATTGATCAAATGATCTATATTGATCAATATAGAGTTTTGTTGTGAATAAGAAGTTTGACCAGTTAGAACCTATAATTTAATTATTTAATAATTAGCAGTTCAAAATAACTTTTTGTATAAAAAAAATAACTTTTGAAAATCTCAATAGTAGATTTTGTGAATATATAATTAATAATTTAGTTGTTTTGCATGTCAAATAACTAATATTTATCAAATATTTTGCATATTCAGTTAATACAATCACCTAGCTAAAGTGTTAATACAATCAGTTATCCATTTTCATCCAATTAAAATAGCTATCAGCTCATGGCCTATATCACTAAAAAAAATCATATTTCAACAAAATACAACGGTAATATATCTTAATGAAAATTTCAATGGATATTATAATGATATAGCTTTCTTTAGGATGATTCCAACAAAAATATTCCGTTGGAATGAGTTTTCTATTGGGATTTTAATTAGAACTTGACAATTACAATAATGACCATTTTTACTGTTTATTACCATTAGAATATGCGATTTCTATAGAAATATTTAATTTCACTTATATTTCCGTTTGAATCGCCAAAATTCAATAGAAAACCGATTCCAAATGAGTATTTTCTTTAGAATCCACTGAAAAATTATAACAGAAATATTAATAGCATTGAAATATTCATTGGAATTACCACTTAAATTTCGTTGAAATTTTCTGTCGTAATTTTGTCATTTTTTTGTAGTGTATCTAATTTTGCATAGTATTATATAACAATTTCTTGGACAATTAGTCTCTAGACCATGAAAATTTGAGATTTCAATTAGAGAAAATTTTACAACTAAACCAAAATAAAAAAAATAAAAAAATAAAAATGAGAAGTACACCTCTAAAAAAGAAAATTCATCATAAATGCCCATGACAAACCATTGACCTTGTTGAATATAATATCACTCGGCTTAAATTGCCAAGAATCTAGTTCAAAGTTCAGAAGTTTGTGTATGACTCTCAACTTTATGTATGACTGGACCATAACATTTGTTTGTTGGCTTTTATATCGAGTAAAATAGTAGTAAAATGAGTTGTTGCTCACATTAGGGTATTAAATTATTAATATACCACTTATTATATTAAACTAGTACGTAACCCGTGCGATGTACGAGATGTAAAATTTAGAAGAATAATATAACTTCACGTGCATTAGGATCGAAATTGAAATCATTAAAATATATAGGAATATTGTTGAATCATAAAAAGTTCGGTAACAATCATATATTATTAAAAACATCCTTGTACACAACATTATGAGTTTGATTATTTGGTAACTCCTCATTATCACAAACTAATATTTTCAAAAGAGACAAATCCTAAAAATCAAACTAATATTTAAACTAATATTTTTGGTGAACAAACTAATATTTTAGGATTGGTGAACAAACTAATATTTTAGGATTTCTAGGATTTGTCTCTTTTCGGTGAACAAACTAATATTTTAGTATTGGTTATATGAATAAGGTTACCTGTTTTTGGTGTTCTGTTCATTCATTTTCATTCAAACAATCCGATGACTTGTATAATGAAATCCGAATCTTAAGCCGAAATATTTAAAAAAAAAGTTTTTAAAAATTGAAAAGTCAAGGCAATCAGTTCAGATTAATTAAAGGTCAAAGAATATCCGCTCCTTGAAATAAAGACGTGTGCTATCATTAACCAAATATCCGGTTATTGATATAGAGTGGTTACCAAAAAATAGAACGCGATAAGGACGCTTCATGAAAATATCAATGGGATAAGGTCAGAACAGATCGCTATACATTTTAACGATAAAAGCTCAGATGGAATGATTTATGATATTATGTCGTAATTAATGAATTAATTAGATGTGTAAAAAGGACATAATTAATGAGAAGTGTGAAAAGGACATAATTAATGAGAAGTGTGAAAATGACAAAAACTTACCAGTTTTGGAAAATATTTAATGCAAATCCGACATTGACCATAATTTGACCTACTATTTTAGATAAATGTTAATTCTTATTATATAAGTATAGATAGGACTTCTCAGGTTCTTAGATTGTAATATTAATTTATGAAAAGAAAAGGCATGACATTGTTGTGCAGCTCGTAAAGTTTGTAATGGCTTAGACAAATTCAAAAGTAATTCCGAATGTATGAATAATAGTCCTATTATTTTTAAATTTGGTTTAGTTGAGGACAATATTGGCCAATAATTCGATTTTTTCATAGAATATTAATACATCATTCACATGCGTTCCATTAAAAAAAAAAAAAAATGGCACATCATGTATACATGCCCCATTAATTTTTTAGCAAAAATTTGTATTTTAGGTCAAAATTGTCATCAAATTAACATTGGTCTATCAATTAATTAAATTCCAATATTAAAACTCATTTTCATCACTCCCCAGTCCCAAAGTTATGAGACTAAATTTAAAAATTTTTCTTTAATTAATTTAATCATGAAAATTGTTGGACTATCACTTGTGAGTTGTCTCACATTGATTATATATAGGAATATTGGGACTAGTATATATGCCTAGTGAGCCTAGGCTCACCCCTTATAGTGCGTTTCGCCTAT